TCTATATCGAGTGTGATTTGTTTGAGGCTATCTGTGTTGTATTTCAGGATCTTGCTTCTCACCAGTGAATGTTGGGAAATACTTCTGCAGGGTTTGTTGCTACACTGTCTGTCTTCACGTGTATTTGTTTCTGTGTATGGATTAGTAGGGATAGGTGATCTGCAAATGGGAGTTGTCCAACTATATCCAAAGTATTTATTGTATTCCATGCTTCTTCTTATGTGTTGAAGTCATCATGATCTAGTCAACAATCAGAAGAAAGAGGGAAGGAGAGTATAGATACTTTTGTCTGATATCGGTTTTCAGTTGCAATGCATCTGTCAGCTGGCATTCAGGCAGGACTTTCCGGTCCAATCCCTCGTAAGAGTTCCGTATGACGGCGGTGATTTCTTCTGATATACCAGAATGTAGAAGAAGCTTCCATAGGATTCTCTTATCCCGACTGTCAAATGCTTCCTCATAGTAAGGGAAATCGAAGTAAAGTAACGAGTTACATTCAACTGATTGTTCAAAAATGATCCCAAGTGTCGAAATTTCGTCAGTAAATGATTTGTCCCTACGAAGTACAGTTTGTTGATCTCGAAGTTGGGCGTCTAATGAATCCTTGATCCGGTTCAGCAATACTTTGTTGAAAACCTTTCCTAATACTGATAGCAATATGACGTGTCTGTGGTTCTCACACTTGCTGAGATATCCTTTCTTTGGAATATTGACGAGGTATTTCTGTTTTTAATCCGTCGTTACTTGTCCTTCCTCCCAAATCTTCCTGAATAGAATGTGTAGCATGTTTGCATTTACTTCTACATTTAACTTCAGTGGTCCAGCTGGTATGTTGTCTGGTCCTGCTGTCTTCCCAGTTTTTATTTCTCTAGTAACCCTAGTGATTTCTCCGACTGTTGATGTAGTCTGCGTGTGCTGCTTTGATGTCTTGTGGATTTAGTGGTGCTAGCCCATTTGAGAACTGTTCTTAATGCTATACTCGCTTGTCCCACTGCTCTAAAACCTAGATGATTGGTTTGCTATATTTGTTTTTAACCGGTCCCTCTGGTTTGTTATATTTCCCTACTAGTTTCTTCGTTGTCTTATACTTCATTCTCTCATCGTCTTTTCTGCTGTCATTGCTCAGTGTTCTGCATATTTCTGACTTTCAGTTCCAATGCTGTCCAATCATTGGTTGGTTCTGTATATTTGGCCTGTGCCTTGGCTTTCTCTTCTCTTGATCAGCTGTTATTAATTGCTGACTTCTTTTCCTTTCTGTTCCGAATCTTGTCCAGGGTTTTGATAGACCCATTCTTTATTATGGTGCTTCTTGCGTCCCAGAACCTCCTTACATGAAGAATTTGATGCTACTGTTGTCTCTTTCCAATTGTCCTCTGCTACGTTTCATCCCGGTCACCCACTTTTGTGGGGACATTCCATGTTATTTTATTATTTGGTGGTCTGGTTGTTCGAAGGGATATCAGCCTTGTGACTTCCCTGAAATGTAGGTGTTCACCATGAGAAGTCATAACTTTTCTGGTTGGAGACCCTTCAGCCTCACTGGTAATGGTAATTGGTTCATAAGTAAGTCTCGTGTGGTCATTAGTGACGAACTTCAAGAGAAATTTTCAGGAGTTCTGGTGAAAAGTCGTGATTAATGGAATCCAACCGTGTTTTGTTTGGAGGAAATACCCATCGAGAAAAATGGAAGATGGTGGATTGATTGAAGTTAGAATTGCACATCATCGGATCCTAGCTCAGTGGTCTAAAAATTGAGCGTTTGTGCACTAGAACAAAGTTCCTGAGTTCAAATGTTTTTTGCGGATCGTGGATGCGTACTGGTCAGGAGCCCATAGTATGACAAAGCTTTTGTACAGTACTACCACGCTTAAAATCGTTACTTAGTTAAGATCGGTTCCTTATTTTTATGAAACTCTTTGTATTTTCATCATTGCCAGCGGTTTTATTCAATATCATAAATTTAGTACAATATGGAATTCTCAGCACATATGCATAATAGATACTTAAAATCCAGGGAGGAGTGAATATCATTTTTGTCTTAGTATGAGATCTTTCAACAATGTGAACCCACGACCATAGCGGGGCTTGAACACATGACCTTCAGTTCTCTAAGATAATGTTTAAACTTCAGACTATCTAGTCAGTATCTAACAGTCTGCATTTTTAACTTGATAAAACTTACTATGTCCCACAATCATCTCTCCAGATTTCTGGTGAGATTTCATTAGTGGAGATCAAACATATAGGTAGCTATGAGATAGGTACTCACTAGTGACGTACAATATCGCCAATCCTAATTGAAGATCAAATAGCTGTCTAGTAATTCCTTGTTTAAGGTGGTTGTCCAACCCATTCCGGCCAGTGATATTAACTAAAAACTTTCATCCAATATAGAGTATGATGCTTACAATGGTGAAGCACTCAAGTTGCACTGATGCCATTACTTGATTAACCGGATTCAATCAGTACTAAGAACTATTACTACCCAGCAGTCAGTTAGTATGATCGTCATTCATACTAGGAGGCGGATTCTCATACGGTTCAAACCGCGCTAGTGACATTATTTCCCCTTAATACACCACTGATCAGTAAAAACGAATACAAAGCCTAAATCAAACAGAATTTCCTACTAATTACCTTAAACTACCTAAAATGAATTATTGACACTCCTTTTTCCGGAATGATTAGCTGTTTCATCCTATTATCAAATAACTCCGCCTGGAGTCCCTCCGGGGGCTACTGCCGGTCCCAAGCCCGGATAAAGGAGGAGGGTTGGGCATGGGGTTAGCGTCCCCATCCCGTAGAAAACTAACTCGCTAAAAAACGCTAACCTATTATCAAATGTATCAATTCAACAGGGAATCTAATTCTTTGTTTAAATAAGTTTGTTATTCTTTCATTATATCTCTTATTGAATACCCTTCAGTTTATCACATTCTTTTTGGATAGATTTTAACTTCCTTCTTACCCCATTCTCTAATCTCTAATACACACTCCATTACACTTACAAATTTTAGTTAATCATTGTATAGGTATGATTCATTTTTCAAATGATTTGAAGTAAATAATCATAAACAAGACACGAGGACTGCCTTTGTCAAACATTTTCAATTTAGAAATATGACACATAGTGAGATAGAGATAGAGAGGAATACTAAAGAATCTGATCGACAAATCTCTTCTTATATGATGAGATTTTTGAGGTCAAAGAGGCAAAGAACACGAACAATTGAATGAACAAATGAATGTACAAAATGAAAATGTACAATAATGACATAGAGAGAAAGGTTAACTTTACTGATATATATATATACATATATATAGAAAAGAATATCAAGTGTTGTGTTCGTTTGTTTGTTTGTTTGCTTTGTGCATAATTCTGTATATCTATGTGTGTGACGGAGGTAAATATGTATTATTAACCATACAACTTAATCATCAGCCCAGTGATCTGATTCAACCATGTTTCACTCACTCTCTCTCTCTTTTTATTCTCTGACCTATATGAAGTTTGTACTTA